GATATCTGAGTCATGAACAATATATAGGAGGACCAGGAAGATAAGAGAGGAAAGAACATTCTGAGCAGGGTAATAGCTTGTAAAAATTTGGAGTTGTACAAGGATTATGAGTTCTGGAATTAAATTCAGTTTTTGGTGTACAGGAAGCCTGTAACAGGAAATGAGTTTAGAGAGGTAAAGAGATTTCTTACATATTCTATGACGGGACTTTGAATTTTATTTTTTGCATAAGGAGACTAGAATTTTTTAAATCTGTCAATGACATTATCAGATATCCATTTCAGAAAGATAAGGAGAGTATGCACTGGCGAAAGTGATGGGAATGGAGAGAGGAGATGAATTTGAGATGTCTTAAGGTATAGAAACAACAGGATTTGGTAAACAGTAAGATGTGGGATGTGGGGAGGGGTCTAAGAGTAGCCTGAGGTTGCTGGGTTGTGTGACCAGGTGGATGGTGGTGCCATTATCATTTTTTTTTTTTTTTTGAGATGGAGTCTTGCTCTGTTGCCCAGGCTGTAGTGCAGTGGCACGATCTCCCCTAAGGGCATCCTCCACTGCCTGGGTTCAAGCAATTCCCCTGCCTCAGCCTCCCGAGTAGCTGGGACTACAGGTACATGCCATCATGCTCAGCTAATTTTTTTTATATTTTATTAGATACAGGGTTTTACCATGTTGGCCAGGATGGTCTCAATCTCCTGACCTCATGATCCACCCACCTCGGCCTCCCAAAGTGCTGGGATTACAGGTGTGAGCCACTGCACCTGGCCCCTGCATTAGATAATGGCACCACTGGCTGGGTGCAGTGGCTCACACCTGTAATCCCAGCACTCTGAGAGGCCAGGGCAGCCAGTCACCTGAGGTCACGAGTTCGAGACCAGCTTGGAAAATATGGTGAAACACCATCTCTACTAACACAACATTAGCCAGGCATGATGCTGCGCACTTGTAATCTCAGCTACTCAGGAGGCTGAATTGAAGTGAGCCAAGATCATGCCACTGCACTCCAGCCTGGGGGATAGAGTGAGACTCTATCTCAAAAAAAAAAAAAAAAAAAAAAAAAAGTAGGGAATACTGGTACTGGATGGGAGCAGATTTGGAAGTAAAGATACAGAGTATAGTTTGGATGCTGAGTTTGAGCTGCTTGTGGGATATTCTCTTGACACCCAGTAGGTGGGTGGAAATATGGATCTGGAGCTCATGGGAGTGGACTAGGCAGAAATGTAAAAGCATGAGAAGTTATGAGCTAGGTAGAATACGTGCAGTAGGGAGAGAAGGCAAAGGGTGAAGGTCTAGGGAATACCAACATTTATGACACACAAAAGTTGACTGAAAAGGAGCCATCATACACAGAGGAGGAGGAAAATCAGACATGAGGGGGGTTCTGAAAAATAAGGAAAGATAAATTTTCAAGAAAGAAGTAAGGCCAACAATGGCCCATGCTACAGAGATCCAAGAAGATAAAACACAAAAACTGGCCTTTGCCTTAGAGGCCATTGGAAATCGTAGGGCAGTTTCGTTGGAGTGGTGTGGTGAGAAATGGGAATGTAATGGAAGGAGAAGTAAATAAATGAGGAGTGGAGGTGCTGAAGGGAAGGCAAAGGTAGACCATAGTCTCAAGCAGGTTGTTTGTGAAGGAGCTGCTTTTTAAAATTAATTTTTTAAAAATTATGATAAATTATACACAATAGAAAAGTTACCATATTAAGAATTTAAAATTTATTTTTATTTTTGTAAACTTGGGGTCTTGTTATGTTGCCTAGGCTGCTCTCAAACTCCAGGCCTCAAGACAGCCTAACGCTTCAGCCTCCCAAAATGCTGGGATTGCAGGGTGAGCCAATGCACCTGGTCCATATTAATCATTTTTAACTGTACACTTAAGTATTGTTAAGTACATTCACATTGTTGTGCAGCCAATCTCAAGAACTTTTTCATCTTGTCACACTAAAACTCTATACTATTATACAACAGAATTTGTTTTTAAGAATGAGAGGCCAGGCGCGGTGGCTCAAGCCTGTAATCCCAGCACTTTGGGAGGCCGAGGTGGGTGGATCACGAGGTCGAGAGATCGAGACCATCCTGGTCAACATGGTGAAACCCCGTCTCTACTAAAAATACAAAAAATTAGCTGAGCATGGTGGCTCGTGCCTGTAATCCCAGCTACTCAGGAGGCTGAGGCAGGAGAATTGCCTGAACCCAGGAGGCGGAGGTTGCGGTGAGCCGAGATCGCACCATTGCACTCCAGCCTGGGTAACAAGAGTGCAACTCCGTCTCAAAAAAAAAAAAAGAATAAGAATTACTTAAATATTTTGTATGCATAGGAGGATGAACCAGTACAGTGAAAGAGGATGAAGGTGTAGGAAAAATGAAAATCCTACCATTCTAAGAACTTTATAAGACCATTTCATTATTAAAAGACAAATATCTTTACCCCTTTCTAACAGCTCCCCCTATTTTTCTGAGTGCAGTTTTAATTTTCTACTTTCTATTACAAAAAAACAACAAAATTCAAAATGATGATAATTTTTTGTTGAGAAACAAGATTCATTTTTTTAAGATTAATTCTGAGGCCTTTAGAAAGATACACACAAACTCCCATCTCTTTTGTGATTATTTTTGTATGAATTGGTGGTAATATATACTTAATATACTTAACCAAAATATTCTCATGATGCTGAGGAGGGTGTGAACCTTGACAACATGATTAAATTATAGCACAGAGCATATTACCATAAACAGCATTAAATGTTGTCAAAGGCTCATACAATATTAGTTAGGGGTTAAAACTATGTTTCTATTACTCTATATTCAGTTTGAATGAACTTCAAATATTTATGAAGCACTAGTTACTATAATGAGATTTTACCTCTTGATTAAACCAGAATTTGGGTACTAGAACAATTTGCTTTTTACTGCCTCTTTCTCTCCCTGATGAAATGTAAAGAGAATGAGTCAATTGTCAAAGTAACCTTTCATCAACAACATCTGATAGAACATGATAGAAGTGACTCTGAATTTTAATTTTCTTTAAAATAGAGAACTGTAGTCAGGCGCTGTGGCTCATACCTATAATCCTAGCACTTTGGGAGGCCAAGGCAGGCAGATCACTTGAGGCCAGGAGTTCAAGACTAGCCTGAACAACATGGTGAAACCCCATCTCTGCTAAAAATACAAAAATTAGCCAGGCGTGGCGTTGCATGCCTGTAATCCCAGCTACTCAGGAGGCTGAGGCACGAGAATCTCTTGAATCCGAGAGGCAGAGGTTGCAGTGAGCCGAGATAGCACCACTGCACTCCAGTCTGGGTGACAGAGTGAGACTCTGTCTCAAAAAAAAAAAAAAAGAATTTAAGAATGTAATAAAATAGGCTGAGTATGGTGTGGCTCATGCCTGTAATCCCAACACCTCGGGAGGCTGAGGTGGGTGGATCACCTGAGGTCAGGAGTTGGAGACAAGGCTGACCAACGGTGAAACCCCATCTCTACTAAAAATACAAAAATTAGCCAGGCAAGGTGGCGGGTGCCTGTAATCCCAGCTACTCAGGAGGCTGAGGCAGGAGAATGGCTTGAACCCAGGATGCAGAGGTTGCAGTAAGCACAGATCGCGCTATTGCACTGCAGCCTGGGAGACAAGAGTGAAACTCTATCTCAAAAAAAAAAAATAAATAAAAATAAAAATAAAAAAAGATGTAATTAAGTAGAGAACTGTTGCCACAGCACCCACAAAGTGTGTTTCTCATTGACAGGTTTAAGTACTTGTATGTCTGTTTCTCCTGCCTACCCCTCAGCCACTCTGGATCTTTCCTTTGATCATTCTTTTTTCTTTCTAGCTTTGATGTCCTGGTTTCCATTCTGTAATTCACAGAATATTTTGTGGTCATGCTCTTTTCAAATTTATCTCCAAAGCAATAGTACATAAACCCATTATGTTGTTGAATTTTGCAAAAAATCCCATCATATCCACTAAAACCAATTTTATCGTTAACAGGATGACTATCAGACCAATATTCATTATTAGAGGTGCAATCTAAACCGGTTTGAGAGAAGACATCCATTGAATCTTTCATTCAGTATAATTAGTTGTTATTTTACATGCAAAATCATATAAATATGAAGCATTTAGGAGATAAAGGAAGTCTTGATTTTATACTATGTGGCATTGTGCAAAGTAACAGAGATGCCGAAACTAAAAGGTTATCCTTTGTCCTTATGAAAGTATGACTGAAAGTTCCCTGGAGAATAGTTTCTACATAGAATCAAAACAGTCCTTAGGGCTCACAGATTTAATGATTTATATGGTATAACTGGCTTCGGATACAAATTTACATGCTGGACAGGCAGTATAGAAAAAGCAAGAACTAGGAATCAGGAAAACAGATCTACGTTTCTGCTTTGTGGCAATTCATTCTTTTTTTTTTTTTTTTTTTCCCAGTCATTCTTGAAATATTTATGGAGAGACCATGCTGTGAGAGAAACTGTATTAGGTGCTGGGGAGCATGGTAGCAAATAAGAGAGACCATGTGTGAGCCTAAGCAAGTGGCTTAGCTTCTCCACATCTCTAACCTTGTTTAGACTCGGTGTCTGAGGTTTCTTTCAAACCCGAAATGCTAAGGTTTGCAATAGCCTTGTGGAGGGAGAAGCTGCCAAGTGGCCCTGGGACTTGAGGACTTACCTTCCTCTCAAAGGGTTAGCCCTTGTTTTGATTTCAAAATAATTGTTACACAGTTTAAAAATAATTTGGTCAGGCTCTTATCTAATCTTGACAGTCTTGATGTGGCAATTCATGCTCATTAGACTTCAAAGGTAGGAAGTCAAAGTTGGGAAATGGTGGATGACTTTCGTCAACTCATAGCCAGGCAGCAGTTCTAGAGAGCAGCTGCTCTGTGGTTCCACCCAGCCTTCCAGCCAATAACGCAGCTTCTCCCGCAGGAAACACATCACTTGGGTCACCTGTTGCTCTTTGCTCTAATGAGCCTTGAGAAAGGATTGCTCGTCATGGGACCAGATGCTTTATGGGGAGGGAAGAATTGTTCTTGCCTTTCACAGTTTTTCCAGTGGGTTTCAAGGTAACGAGCTTCTTATTATCTAGCTCATAACTGCAGTAAGGAAAAAGCTTTACTGCTTGCGGCCGAGATGACTTTTTCAAGGGAGAAAAAGGGATTTCTATAACAAAGGGAGCGAGATGAAGAGGGAAGGAGTAAGGGAGAGAGGGAAGGAGGGAGAAAGAGAGAGATTTGAATATACATTGCTTCAAGGATACAAAAAATTACAACCTGGGAAAGGCTTCGAGTAACTTTAGGAAAATGAGCTGCTGGAGTCCTCAGTCAATCTGTCCTTTCTGGTCAATGAAAAAGACCGGGTTTGAAGTTCCTTCCGAAACGGGGCCGGCTAATTTAGCCCCTCCCACGAACCCAAGGGTCTGTTATATCTCTGTTTCCTTGAGTACCTCTCTTTCGGAGACCGACCACAGCAAGCAGAGGCTGGGGGAAAAGAAACGAAGAAAGAGGAAAACAAAAGCTGCTACTTATGGAAGATACAAAGGGTAAGACCAAAATTGATTTGACCCGAATCCTTAATGAAAAAAAGAAGAAGGAGAAAACAAAGCCCAGACCAAATGCTAGTACTTGAAAGCTGGAGGCAGAAAGCTATGAATGAATTTTCCCACCCTCTTCCTTCTGAGAGGAGGCAGAGAAAGAGCTTTGGGAAACTTTTTAGGAAGCAGAGTCCAGGGTTGCAGTCAAGGGTGGCTCTAGAGCAAGCTGGAGGGGCTCATGAATATTCATTATCAATTTGTATTCAGAGTTGGTTTTTTAGAGGCAAATGACTTTTTCAGTCCCCTTGCAGTTTTAAGAGGCAGCTGCCTCATCTACAGTCCGGACTCATCTAGCCTCGGATCTGTATCTCAGGGTGTTTGCTTGAAGATGCTGGGCGCTGTGTGTAGATTTGTTTTGTTCTCGAATTTCTTGCGTGCTTTCCTGTTTTGAAATGAGCAAAGGCTTCTTTTCTGGGAGCAAGACAGAGAAGTTAATGTGGCACGAGGTTGTCACAACAGGACCCCAGAGTATGTCTTTCAAAACGCTGAAAGTTTCTTGAGATATGTGGGGGAGTCAGTATGTGGGGGACAGAAGAGGGAGACGGGGACGGGTGGAGGGAGGAAATAGAATAACTAGTTCTATCTTAAAAGGGCAGGTCATATCTAACTGCATTTCGATTTTGTCTAAAAACTACAAGAGCAGCCTGGTTTGCACAGATGGTGTGCAGTCTCTATCTTTTACCTCTTTTGGGCATTTTCTGCCAGGACGGAGAGCCAGCTGCTTGCCAGCCTGTGAGAGCCAGGAAGAATCTCTGCAGCAGTGAGGGAGTGCAGGGTTGCAAACCTTTTTCTTTATCATCTCTAACCTCTAACATTCCCACAGGCTTATACCACATAGAACATGGAAGAAGAGCATGAGTAGCCAATTGATTTCTTAATACTTATAATAACGAGAGCTGTTTGTGTTGATTAAGTCTTTATTTTGTGTTGGGAGCTGTACCTAGCATATTACACGTGCTACTTACTTATCATATGAACCTTTTAAGTGCTATCATTGTTATTCCCATTTTCCAGATGGCAAAATTAAAGTACTGAGAGAATAACTCAACTCGAGATCTCATAGTAAGTGCTGGGTGTGGATGGAGGTAGTCTGAGGCAGGGCTGGAGGGCTGTTCCATTCCCTGACACTGTTGTTCTGCTTTTTCTCATGCCCTCACATTGTGGATTTCAGGTTTGCAAATTCTTGAAGCTACTGAAGAATGATACTGATAAAATCTTAAGTCTGTGAAGGAATTTGTACTTTGCACTCAAGTTCCCATACATTTTCTTCAGCTGGTGCTCATAGCCATTCTCTGTGAGAAGCAGGTATTGTTATTAGGTCTTTTATAAAAAGGAGAAACTGAGGTCAGAAGGCGTTAGATGACACCAGTCACAGCTAGTTGTCAAAAGTCTGGCCTGGTGGGCTGGGCATGTAACCCCAGCACTTTGGGAGGCTCAAGTGGGCGGATCTCCTGAGGTCAGGAATTCGAGACCAGCCTGACCAACATGGTGAAAAACCCCGTCTCTATTAAAAATACAAAAATTAGCCGGGTGTGGTGGTGTGTGCCTGTAGTCCCACCTACTCGGAAGGCTGAGGCAAGAGAATCACCTGAACCCAGGAGGTGGAGGTTGCAGTGAGCTAAGATTCCACCACTGTACTCCAGCCTGGGTGCAGAATGAGACTCTGTCTCAAAAAAGAAAGAAAGAAAGAAAAATCTGTCTATCTATCTATCTATATATGTATATATGTGAACTGGATCTGAAATCCTCTGCTTCTGGTTTTTCTTTCAACCTGCAGAGCAGGCCCAGTCATCTCTGAGTCTGTCCCCACCCCAAGCTGGGCCTCACTGAGTTGCTTTCAGTTCCCTAAGGGAACTGCTTCTTTCCTCAGACTGAGCTAGGCCCTTTCTTCTGTTTTAAGGGCCTGTCTGTTACTCTCCTTCCTTAGTCTGAAGCCAAGCTGCCTGGGTTTGAATTTTAGCTCCACCATTTACTGTGTGTCTCAGTTTCCTCATCTGTTAAATGAAGAGAATAACAATAACATCTATCTTTTTTTTTTTTTTTTTTTTTTTTGAGATACCAAGTCTCGCTCTGTAGCCCAGGCTGGAGTGCAGTGGTGCGATCTCCGCTCACTGCAACCTCCACCTCCTGGGACCTGGTTCAAGAAATTCTCCTACTTCAGCCTCCCAAGCAGCTGGGATTACAGGCATGAGCTGCTATGCCCAGCTAATTTTTGTATTTTTTAATAGAGACGGGGTTTCACTGTGTTGGCCAGTCTGGTCTTGAACTCCTGACTTTGTGATCCACCCACCTCTGCCTCCCAAAGTGCTGGGATTACAGGCGTGAGCCACCATGCCCGGCCAATAACATCTATCTTATAGGGTTGTGGTAAGGACTGAATGAGGGATTCATGCAAAATTCTTAGAACAGGGCATGATGAACAGTATCACTAAAGAAATATTGACACTTGTTATCACTCTTTGAAGCCTCATTTTGGGTGTGATTCCCCCTTTTAAATCATCTCTAATTCTTCAAGTCTAGATTTGGCCTCATATTGGATGCTTCTATAGTACCTCATCAGTTATGCCTAAGGTGGCACTCATCATACTTGTCCACACTCCTGACCCCTGCATCACCTTCTCTCCCTCCCCAATTATAATTTCTGTATTCATCTTTAGATCTGCAGTGTCTAGTGCAGTTTTATTTTTAGTGTCAAACTTAAGGCAACTTTCTCATCAATGTGGGCAGAGTGATGGGAGAGGGGCCTCAGTCATGATAGGGTACAGGAGGCAGCCACAGAGGGCGACCATATAGCAGTCCTAGAGGGCCAGAAGCCACGCAGGAGGTGGACAGAGATGAGTACTGATTCCGGAAGAACACATGTCATTCAGCAGCCAATGGTTAAGATGTCAGAGTTCAGTGAACTTCTCCTTGACGTCTGCGAGGTCCTCTGACGTACTTACTGTGGGTCAGCTTGGCAGCCACATTCATCAGCCCCTGGGACAGGTTCTTGGATTTGGCGTCCATCTTGGAGAACATGCCAAGCTTTCCTTAGAGGGTGGTACACTCCAGGCTCTTGTGCAAGTCCACAAGGTCCTTGTCAGCCATTAGTATCTTGAGCTCCTTAATGGGAGCTCGATAAATATTTAGTAAAGGAAGCATTATTATTTCAGCTGATGCTCATTTGAGACTAAGGAGGCTGGTTTAAAAGGGGACATTTGGCCGGGCGCGGTGGCTCAAGCCTGTAATCCCAGCACTTTGGGAGGCCGAGGCAGGTGGATCACGAGGTCGAGAGATTGAGACCATCCTGGTCAACATGATGAAACCCCGTCTCTACTAAAAATACAAAAAAAAAACTGGGCATGGTGGCGCGTGCCTGTAATCCCAGCTACTCAGGAGGCTGAGGCAGGAGAATTGCCTGAACCCAGGAGGCGGAGGTTGCAGTGAGCCGAGATCGCGCCATTGCACTCCAGCCTGGGTAACAAGAGTAAAACTCCGTCTCAAAAAAAAAAAAAAAAAAAAAAAAAAAAAAAGAGGACATTTGAGTTTGCAGTAGGGCTCCCCCCTGGTACGTATAGATCTTTTGCACAGTCTGTAAAGACGTCCCTCTATGTGGATACACTGAAAAACAAAATGCATCCCCCTGGGGGGATGATTTTCAGAGCTAATGTAACCCCATGCCAGGACACCCTGTTTGGCAAGTAAAGCTGTGCTGAACTTCAGCCCCCATTCCCCACTTGGCCAAGGACCAAACTGTAGATTTCAGATGCCTCATAGCCAACTTTGCTTTCTCTGAACAGAACATCTGGTTCCATAAATAGTGTCTCTCCAGCCCTACTTTATAGCAATCTTGCTATTTGAGACAATGTACTCTGGTAATGAAAGAAAAACAAACAATACAGAAGTTGACCCTGGGTAAAATCATAAAATACGTTATGTTTTTTTCCCAGCATCCTCCCTTTCCTCTTCCTGGCATAACTTCAAACCAATTTGACAAATATTATTGTGTGTCTGCCATTTGTAAGTCCCCATGCCACAGATCCTTGGATAAACAGTTTGTTCACGGTCTAGTGGGGAAGCCAGACTCTGGGAAGTGCTAATAATAATAGCTAACAGTGATTATTTATTATGTGCCAAACATTGTAATGCTTTATGTGTGTTGTCTCATGTAATCTTTACAAAAACTTTATGATATTGGTTTCTGCATCTTCCAGCTGTGGGAAGATGGTCATTTGCTCAAAGTCATACAGCCAGTAATAGGCAGAGGGGACATTTTGACTGATGTGGTTAGGCTACAAAGTCTGAGAACCTAACGGATAAGTTCTGCCTCCCTAAGAGCTGTAATAGAAGTCAAAACAAAGTGCCATCACACAGTGGTACATGCCTGTAGTTCCAGCTACTTAGGAGGTTGAGGCAGGAGGATCACTTGGGCCCAGGAGTTCGAAGCTGTAATGTATTCATGGGTATGTTTGCACCTATGAATAACCACTGCACCCTAGCCTGGGCCAGGTAATGAGACTTTATCTCTAATATAAAAATACTAAAAATAAAAATAAAAATAAATAATACAAGAGAAAGTACCATGAGAAGCAGAATAGGGAGCATTGGCTTCTGAAGAAACTTCTCAAAGGATGGGACACATCAGTTGGATCTGGTGCCCCTGACAAGCCCCTTCACCCTCCCAGCAGTGCTTAAGGATCTTTTCTCTCTTTTACCTTAACTACAGTGTAGATTTAAGAGTAAAAAGCCTGGCTGGGTGCGGTGGCTCACGCCTGTAATCCCAGCACTTTGGGAGGCTGAGGGTAGATCACGAGGTTAGGAGATTGAGACCATCCTGGCCAACATGGTGAAACCTTGTCTCTACTAAATATACAAAAATTAGCTGGGTATGGTGGCGTATGCCTGTAGTCCCAGCTACTTAGGAGGCTGAGGCAGGAGAATTGCTTGGACCCGGGAGGCAGAGGTTGCAG